CGTACAAATACTGTAATATGACATGTTTATGTTCCGCTGCGGCTCTGTTAAGGAAGTGCGGCTAGTAATGAAGTATCTGCTGGTTATCCACACCACAGAGACTAACGGTAAAAGCATCCATAACATACCGTAACATTCGATCATAACACTCAGACTTCAATATACACCAACATAGACAATGTAACAGTGGCCGCCTCTAGCACTTGTGACATAGACACCTGCTCCCAAAATATTATGTATACGTGCGGTAACTCGATTAACCTTTTTACACAAAATATAAGAAGTATTTGACGGACTTTTGAGTGGTCTGGAATTGAGTGGGACATAATTATTCTAACCGAATGTTGGATTACAAGGAACCAGCTGTTACTACCTATCGATGGTTACCATTCCGCATACACTAAAAATGTTAAGACCCAAAATGAGGGAGTCGTTGTGTATTACAAATCGACCGACAAATACACTATATTTGAACCCTCCTTGATGGATGGTAACTGTTTGGTGATACCCAAATTGCTATAGTCTGCATTTATCGTCCACCAGCACTAAGGAATATCTTTAAATTCATTGTATCTCTAAATGATATACTAGAGATGACTCCGGTGGTGATCCGAACTTTATCTCAATCTTTTAGCTTCCCATGGTATGTTGAAGGCTTACCATATTCCGACACACTCACAAACTTGCCTTGACCATACAATTATTAAGTCACAGCTTCAGGCAATAAGCCTAATGGCCCATACAACCTTAACTGACCACTACAGCATTATTTTAAGTATTTCTGAAGCCCATCCCCCACGTTCTTGTGTGAAAACAACAAAGCGGATAAACTATTCATCCCTCGACGGAAAACTTCAAATCCAAAATTTAGAAAGTATCTACTCCATGCAGTGTGCCAATGACGCAGTATCATATTTCTTCAACATCCTGTCTCATGCATTAAAAAGTTGTACTATAATCAGTTCTGTTTCAACTGTTTCAATGCGAAAGCGTACCATTAAACCTTGGATTACACCGGGATTATTACGTTGTATACGAAACCGCGACAAACTGCATTTAAAGTAGGTATATAAGAGATCCTACTTATAACAATAAACTAAGATACACTACATACAGAAACTTTTAAAACAACATTCTTAAAAAATGAAGTAGTAACATGATGAAAATGAACTCGCCAAATGTTGAGGCAATACAAAAATGTTATGGAACCAAATTAAATTAATTACATGGACTAAAAAACAGAGCACTCCATCTACAGACCTGATTGATCCAACAAATCCTTTGGCTTCAATTAATTGTCTTAATGAGTATTTTATAAAGGTAGGATTGCCACTTGACAATACAACACATGAACTTGCCCCACCATTTCTCAGCTCATCCTAGACTCTCAAAGTATTCTTCGTTTGTATTACTTCCAACCAATACCCGAGAGGTTGCAAATATCCTGCCTTCACTTAGAGCTAATTGCTCAGTGGGAATAGATGATATTCCCAGTAGCATATTCAAGAGATATTTAAATATACTAGTAGAGCCTATTACTTATAAGTATTTGTATTCCCTTCGACTCTCAAAAAATCACTTGTGCATACCAAGCTACAAAAGTAGCGGTAGAGACAGTGTTACCAATTATCGACCAATATTAATGTTGCCTACTCTATCAAAAGTCTTGAAAATAATAATAATAAACAATGAACCAAATACTTAGAAACAGAAAAGATCCTTTCGGAAAATCAATACGGCTTCTGTAATGCTTGATCTTGTGGCGATGCAGTTCATCGGCTCACTGATATTATAGTCACGAAGCTTCAACCCAAGAAGAAAGTACTAACTATATTCCTCGATGTCGCCTTTTGATACCGTCTCTACGCCACTCCTGCTGAGGAAACTGGAACATCTTGAAGTCCGTGGAACTCAGTTCGATCTTTTTAATAGCTATTTAACTAGTAGTTCGGAAGGTGTTAAAGTTGAGGATTGGATAAGAGATGAACATGAAATTAGAAACTCCTCATTTCCTCAAGGGAGCATTTAAGACCCTACCCTTTTTTTTATTAACGACCTTTGCGAATCTAAACTTACTAATGGAAACATTAATACTTTTGCGGACGATACAGCTCTTCCAATGCGACCGACCTATGCGAATTGGAAGAAGTCTTCCAATTCGCATAGGTCGGTCTTTCACGGGTGACTACTTGGCTCAGAGACAACCTACTTAAACTCAACACAGACAAAACCAAATACATTGCGTTGCTCTATCAAACAATTCCCTTAATATTAACCCAGATCTCCACATCTCAGCTCATACATATAATAATAACCTGTCAAAAAATATGTGAATGTCCTAAATTGCAAAATGTTGACTCGATTAAGTATCTTGGCATAGTTATTCATAAAAATTTAAATTACAATATCACATCAACCTATTAGCAAAAGTGTTAGGCGACTCATCTTCAAGAACCTACGAAACGTCTGTCCACGAGAAGGTGCTTCGGACTACGTACCTTGCACTATGTCAACCCTTGCTGACATATTGTGTTACAGTGTGGGAAGGAACTTCAAAAACCCGTATGATAAAACTCCAAGAAAAGAACTTTACGTAAAATGCAAGGTCCTAACGGTCCGTCAACTCTTCGTCGTCAACACTATTCTGCGCAAACACTCACAGATATCCGATCAACCTACTTTACAGTCTCACAAATGAATTAAAACAAAAGTTTTCCTTAAAATATTATGTAAAAGTAGCCTCTCCCAACGCAGCCACTGTTTCCTAAGTAATTATTTTTTCCATAAACTTAATTCTGTCCTTAATTTGTATCCTTTAACTGAGGTTAAATGTAAGCAAGTACTTACTTCACATCTTTTGGAATACAACTACGACTCTACTGAAAAATTACTAACTATTGCAAAATAAAAACTAAGCTCTTAAACTAATACACGCACACACACAGACAAAAAATCACACACACACACACACTGACGCACACACGAACGCGCATACCCATAAAAATAAAACTAATAACTATAAAATGTTTTTAATGGACAACGATGTTTACCTTTATTTTTTGTTTTTGTTTTTTTTTTCTCATTACTTAGAAATAAGTATAATACAAACTTTGTACTATGGGGGGCCTGGCAATCTGTGTGGCAAGGTTCTCTAGTGCAGATGCCAGTCTCCCACAACGGTCTTGAGCAATGACTGTAATAACATAGTATCAGTAATCTTTGTGTAAGAGAAAGTCATCTTATCTATCTTAAAAATAAAAAAAATAGCGACGCTGGCATGGGACAACTATATATGTCGCTACCCAACAAAGGATGAGATGTTTTGTTACGGCGATTATGATTCTCAATGTAAAATTCGTCAAAGCACCGACCAACCAATATTAATTTATTGTATAACTTAAGTCCAAATTCATTAATAAATACTTATAACTGAAAAAAAACTGTACATTCCTGTATTTCGATAATTGACTATTTGGAGAAAATTTCAAAAACTAGTGCTTGTGATTTCACATGGTCACCCTAAATAGCGAATTCATAATGAATATCAAAATGTAATTTATTTTTCATACCGAATATATACAACGTTGTCTGATTTAGTAGACATTTATGCTGAAAGATAGTGTCTCTGGTTTTTGTTTCTGTTGTGATCTCAGGTAGGTATAGTCGATTGTTTATCATGCAGAACGTCAGGATTGAGGAGCCAAATAAAATGCGTTTATTTACTGAATCTACTCAGTTTTACTACTTTCTTCTGATGCTACAAATTCAAACGCACTTGCTACTAAATGTTTTTGGATTGGAATATAAATTTTGACCTATTACTTTCATGGCAATTCGCGTTCTTAAATATAGATTGAGGAGCCACAATGAAAGTATTGTACATATATTCTTGAATATCAACAGTACTGGACTCAGATTTTTAAAAGGCATTATACTCTTACTACTACTACTCTTAATTACTACTAAATGATACAAAATTTTCAAAAAATTTCATTAAATACTTTCCGTGTTTCAGGTGGCTCCTCAATTCAAATGTTTAGATTGAGTAGCCACTTTTACATAGATATAACTTTGGAATTCTCTTACTACAAATTTCAAAATTTGTCCTACAAAATTATTTGCTCGCCTGCTAAATAAGGGATTAGTTTCCGTTTAAAATCCGTTTAAAATCTGAAGTGGCTCCTCAATCCATACGGACATAACGCGTTTGTGACTCCTGAGTTGCCGGCGTTCATGGACGACGGTAGTCTCTTTCCATCAGGTGACCCGTCTGCTCGTCTGCCCCTCTTACATACAAAAAAAATTTGCTCCAGCCATGGAGCGATATGTAACGGTTAGCGCGAGGTCCTCTCTGATGACTGCAGTAAGGACCCAACACGCCGACCGCTGCGGAAGGACACGCGTCAGTCGGAAGGAAAGAGCAGAGCAGCACCGGAGGCTGATGTTCTAACCACTCGAAAACGACTGTTCGTTTCGCTTTGTCGCAAAGGAGGTACTTCAGCCTGTGCTGAAGCACCTTCTTTGCGACAAAGCCGGTACATGGATCCTCCAGACGCGCTGGGACGACCAACAAACTATAATGACTCAGTGAGCGACCTAATGCTACTCGCGTGAAAGAAAAACTCGTTAAATGAACAAATTGGATCGTTGTTTTATTTTCAACCTTGATAGATAAGTAAGGTGACTTTTTGCGTATAAATATAAAGTGACAGAGTATTTTCTTTTACTATTCAACCAGTCTATCGAGTCACAAGCGTAATAATAATCCAGTTGAGTGAAGTTCGGCGTTTGTTCTATTAGCATTGTGCAATTTTAATGCTTAATTTCTGCAATATTTTTGACAAATTTCATTAATTTAGAATTTAAAGAATAATAATGGCCTTAACACTTGAATTAAAATAATTGACGATAGAAAACAAAATTTAAATATTTGAAATATTTTAAAGAAATTAAATTTAATTAACAGTTAAATAATACCCACTTTTTTTAACACAGATAGAATGGCCTTTTCAAGAATATGTCTTTTATTGCTCCTATATGGTACTATAGAGAGTTACCAAGTAGAAAATAAAGCGCCACCTTCTTCTCTTGATAAAAAATTGTCAAAGCTTCAACACTATGGACTCAAACCGGGGTATGTACTGGACATTTTGATATAGTCGATTTGTCGATATGTTTTTGATTTTGTTAGTTTTTGATACATGATCTCATGGTCAGGGTCATTAGTTTGATTTACTCTTGTAAAAAAAAAAACAAAAACAAACAAAAAACTGTGTACAATGAAGTTTCATCATCATCAACAGCCTTTAATAGTCCGTTGCTGGACATAGGCATCTCCTTAGAACGAAGGTTTTTGCCTACAATACCATGCTGGCCACACGGGTTGATATAGGGTGTGTCAAGTTTTCCTTCTCTTTGCAGTGCTATTGTCCTGCTTAGTTTGCTCCATTAGTCGGCTCTTACGACACCCATTGGATGAATAGGGATCGTGTCATTCCTGAAAAGAATATTATATATCTGGTTTTTTCAATTGAGTGTATTCCATTCTGTTTTGTATAATACTATCTTTTTAAAGTCCTATAACTCATTGAAATCTAATATTTTAACAAATGTTCCATTGTAACTTTTAATAAAGCAATACGTATTTAATGTGTTACGTATGAATTAATTAATTATCATAAACTTTAGAATATCAAATAGTTGCCAGATGCTTTAGACATACATTTTTAAAAATAGTCCTTAGAAAATATACTTACGATCGATGTGTAACTTATTTATGACACTATAAACTAAAATTGTGTAGTCGTATGATGTAGGTTTGTGCTAGTGCAATATGCTATGTGTAGTATGCAAGATGTTAAAAGGAGTTAGGGTGATGAGAGAACTAATTTAATTTAGTTTTAGTTTCTTATTCTGACTAGTGAATCATCCTATTCATGGGAATAGAATAATTACCACTAAATGGGTGGTATTAATAGTTATTCAGTTGCCTCATAATTGTTTTAAGGAATAAGCTTACTACAGCTTTTGCATTATGTTCTGGGCATAGGGTAAATATTTCATTTTATTTTAAGAACTTGGTCTGCATTGCATAAATTCTTCTAATTTTTAAAACCTACCTTTTAAATTGCGTTAAAAATGTACCTTTAGTATTTTTTTATCTTAGTATATTTTCGAACAGTTAATCAGTAATTGAGTTACAAATTCGGTCACAAAACGTCATACCTCTAATTTTAAACTTCGTGTTTGTTTTAATAGGTATTTCTTTATAAAAACCACTTGAATTATTCAGTGAAAAGAGCTATCTTTTACAGTTTATTTTTGCTTTTGAATGTTGGTTCCTTGAAACTTGAAAACATCATAAATAACTAAGTTAATAAAGATATTTTTATTATATATGTCATTATTTCATTTAAGGATTTACATTGGTCTGTATGTGAGTTTCTTTATTACATTAGAATCCTTACCTCCTCAAAACAGCTTACTATAAGTTAAAAAATTAAAACATAAAAAAAAACATTTAAAAATATTTGTCGGTAAAAACGTTTCAACATGATAAAATATTGAACTGCATATTTATTTACTAATCAACAGAAGAGTAAAATATTATTTTTTATCAGCAAGAAAAAAAACATTACTCATTTTGTATCTGTCAAACAAATGAAATAGTATTAAGTTGTAATGACATTACAATGTAAAACATAAGTTAGTTTAAAACCAACCCTTATATTTTATTATTTTGGGTCGTCTTACGGAGAAATAATTTTAGAGTATTAGATTGTTATGAATCCCGAATTCTCAAAATTTCAAGTAAAACAAATACAACTCACTACTTAAAATAACCCACTTGGTGGAAGGGAATACGCTTCTTCTTTTATTATTATTGATTATCTTGGATAAATTATTACAATTACGTATTAAGTATCACCATTTTTGGCTTACTATACCACGCTGGCCAGACGGGTTGGTATAGGTTTTGTGTTAAATTTTGATTCCCTTTTTCTTATTAAATATTTATGACTAAAATTGTTATAGTTTTTACACGTGTACTGTGTCGTGGTGTATGTACGTATTTTTAACATTCTTTTAATCGCGTTAACTTAGAAGCTCGACTTTTCACAGCTTCCAGGGAGTGCCGACCTAAATAGTTGATGTATTTTCAACTTTATCCCTATCCATTTCTGTGAAAAAAGGATCCTAATAGGCAGATAGACAGACAGACGGACAGTAAAGTGATCACTATGAGAGCTTCTTTTTTCTTTTAAGAAAGGAAACCCAAAGAATTTTCAGTTATCTCAAAAGGGCAATAGGCGCATATAGCGCGTCACGCTTTTTTCATGAAGGTTTGCAGGTCGTATTGGTCTGGAAATACCGCAGACGATAAATTGTTTAACGATTGGTTGGTATTGTTGGCACTCTATAAATTTTTTATACTATCGGAGAGAATTCGTCAGCGCCGCAGACTACGAGCACTGACTTCTCTTGTTTCCCTTCTCATCTCACCATCGGTACCTGAATACCTCGTTCCATATTTCCGTTTATTATGCTCCAATCACAACCGAACCCTTTGATCAACAGACAATATGCTTCTTTCATGCCCCCCTAACTTGATTAATTCTTCCTTCTATGTGCAGTCAGTTCTTCTCTGGAATGCACTCCCCGCCGAAGTCAAGATGTCCACGAATCGCTGTACAATCAAGACAAAAATACGCAAACTTCTTCCTAATGAGTTGAAGAACAGTCACAACGCTAGTGCCCGATTGTGTATTTTCATGAACCTATCGCGGTTTACTGCTGGACATAGGCCTTTCATATTTTAAATATATATATAAATATATATATATATTGTGTATACTTCTGTACTTCTGTCAGTATAATAATATAGTAGCAATGTTTTATGTATATTATTAGTATCGTATAAAACCACAAATTTAACACTTTACCTTTGTACCTACCGCATCATATTTCTATATCATCTGAAGGTCGACTGGGAAACAATACCTCATGGCATCAAGTCCGCCTTTGTACGACATGTGCATGGAGTTTTATATAAATTAATAAAAGAGCAGACAGGTCGCCTGATGGTAAGCAACAGATGCAACTCAAGAGACACAAGTGTTAGTTCAAGTGACGAAATAATTCCTTAACACCAGTATTGTGTGAGGATCAAGCATCTCTTCCTCTCCCACGTAAACAACGATAACCATGCTCAAAAAAGAGAATTATTCACCAATATACACAATTACAATTGACCTCCTAAAAAATTCTTCTTTCTCTTTATATTTCAGGAATTAGTTACTTAGTACTTAGGGTATACTGAAAGTTTCTGGATTCTGATAAACAAGACTAGGTATAAGACTCACGATACATTTATTGTTTTCAAAGTATTCGCTGAAACCACTGTACAAAGCAGTTGAACCAGTCTTCCTTAGGGACCTCTTCAATGGCTTCATGGAACGCATTCAGGGCTCGTAAAACGTATGCTTCTAAGTTTGTCTGTTATTCCGGTCCGGTCCGGTGAGGATGCGTTATCGTGCTGAAGCCTACTTCAGCACGATAACCTCACATATCTTCGAGTACGCTTTTCGTGAACTTTTTCTAAGAATCTGGGCAAGCAAGTGTTGACACACCAATCTGCAGTCACTGTCCTTTGATCTACTAGCGATACTGTAGTGTAATGTGCTCATTTTCCGAAAAAAGAAGCAAGCATTTTTTTTATCAATGCTTGGACTTTTCTTAACCTTCGTCGGCAAATCTTTAAAAGGTGAGACCTCCTGTGCCGATTGGCTTTTTCTTTCGGGTTCAAAGCAGTATACCCAGCTTTCGTAACCTGTTACAATATTACAGACAGCGAATGACTGTTCTCCGTTAAACTTTTTTATCATTTTAAGGCACCAATGGACCCGCATTCGTTTCTGGTCCTCCGTTAAGTAATGTGGTATCCATAGAGTGCAAAGCTTTCGAACCTTCAGATGCATCTTTAAAATGTTTTTCACTTGACTCATTCCAATGCCTAACAAAGCACGAATTTGCTGGCAACTCATTATTTTTCAGTTTCAATAAGTTGTATTACGGTATCAATATTAGAGTCTGTAACCGCAGTCGCCGGCCGACCTCATACCTCATCATGGTGATGATCACGTTTTCGTCTAAATTCTCCAAACCACGAATACAAAGAGCCAGACATGGTGTTTCATCACCAAATGCCAATTGAAGTAGAGACTCCAGAGGGCAACTCTCTTGTTGACTTAAGCCACAAGAAAAATCATAAAGAATCATTGAACGAAAATGTTCACGAGTTAAATTCATTTTGATAACGACACACACACAATCTTCGATAGGACGCAACAATGAAAAAACTAATGACAGTATCGCAAATTGAAACGTAATATGTTCCCAAAGAGTTCCATTTTCGAATTTAATTTTTTTTTTTCAATTTTTTTATAGTTTTTTTACAGTATAAATTGTTTTGTACACAGTGGCGGTTGCCCATTCCAACTACAAAGAACACCAACTGATTCAGATCCTGCGAAGCGTTTATCACCGAAGCTCTGCTCTAAATCTCGGTATAGATCCCTGGATGGATCCTGTAATAACCTACTGAGACCGAACTGGGGGCGAGCCATGACGCCATATGTAAGATTAACAAAGAACAATTATGCCGATGGTACGACTTACATTTAATATGATATTTTTTTTCTATATACACAACACGCAGTTCATACCCCTATCCTAGTGGCATCTCCGACCACAGTATAAACATACGGGTGCACACCCGTACACACAGGAAAATACCTTGTATGATATTTGTGAGTTCGAGAGTAGATCGGAACTGAATTATTAACGATTTTTTATTACAAGAATTGACCCTCTGAAAGATACTTATTAATAAGTACATTTCAAAAATGAATGGGCCTAATTACGTACATAAATATAAACATGCTGTAATTATGAAAAGATCAAACTTGACCAATAAAACAGAAATTTAATAAGCAATTTAAGCAGCTCGCAATTAATTAACACTATGAAAAATTGTAATACATTTTCAGGTGTACATGAAATGCCAGTATCTGTAACCGGTAAACCGCTTCCCAATGTACGAGAACTTAGTTTTCGATTTTTTCCGAACAAAGATATTGTTAGTCCCGTGTATAACCTGAACGCAGCACAATGGGGTCAAATTATCACACATGATATGTCACTTACGGCTGGTGTTCCCCAGATCAGTAAGTACTTCGTTATATTTACTTGTATTCCAAGTAGTTGTAAAAATATGAAAGTTTTAACAAATCATTTTATGAAAAGAGAAACCGACGTTGAAGATTTTACTGCATGAGTTAAGTTATTTGTAATTTTTAACCACATAACTAAGTGAATATATATTTTTAGGTATCCCAGTAAAATGTTGCAACTTCCAGGGTAAACTGACAGAGGCTGCACAAAATTCTTCTATCTGTACTCCAATATTGGTCCCTCGTAATGATCCGATTTTCCACGCCGAAGGGATAGAGTGCTTGCCTTTTGTCAGAACACAGACTACTAGAGACGAAGGATGTATAGCAACTAACGCTCCTGCGCAACCGGTAAAAAACATAAACTGGGTGTTGTATAGTAGCTTGACACTAAACAGCACTATACTAACATCAATGTTTTAATCACAGATTACCCCTAAGTTTTACACAACTGATGTTAATTAATGCATGTGAACCAATATACAACGTTTCAAATACTATAGTTATGTTAAAGATTTTTAAACATTCTTAGTAAAAGATGTGCATAACGTTATTAAAATTAAAATGTATTGATGTCTTTTAACAGTTAACAGCAGTAACAGGATTTATGGATCTCTCAGTTTTGTATGGTAATAATGCCAGTCAGACAGATTCTCTTCGAACTAAAACAGGTGGTAAAATGTTGTCAGTAGTCAGGCAAGGACAAGAATGGCCGCCTCAAGAACCTGATACAACGTCAGTGTGTTCGGCCAAGTCAAACGACGAACCTTGTTATTTAGCTGGTATGTTTATGATAGATATTAAGATCTAACCCGTTCTATAAAACAGCAACTATTACTTAGTCTAGTGGAAACATTAAAGACGTGCTTAAAAGTATAATCCTAAATTTATGTAATGAAAGATTTGCCGTTAAATTCTGTGATGATAGCAAAAAATAATTTAAATTATGAAGTATTATATTTATCTAGGATGTTGTTTCTATAAGCATTGCATATTTTTAATAAAGAGAGTATAATACATTTCGTCAGACAAAACGTTATTATTGCAGGTGACATACGAGTAAATCAAAATACACAGCTGACCCTACTACAAGTAATTTTACTTCGTAACCACAATCGCATAGCAAATAAACTTGCACACTTAAACCCGCATTGGAACGATGAGACACTCTTCGAAGAAGCAAGACGCATCCACATCGCTGAAATTCAACACATCAATTATTACGAATATTTACCTAATATTCTTGGTAAGCATCCAATAATGGCTGGTTAATATCCCTGTTCTAAGGGCCTCTTCAATCCACTATGGTAGTGGTGGCTTATTTTTAATTTAGGTACATATGGCGCACAGTTGGTGATCCTCAACTAGCATCTCAGATCAAAGGCTCAGCACAGGCATAAGCCTAGCTCCCTCGCCCTATCACTTTGTCTTACCCTAATTTATATTATTCTTTGGTTTGGTCTGAATACGATAAAATTATCATGTATAGTTAGATAGTTTGCATCAGGTAGGCCGTAGAAGAAACCAACCATAATCTTTTATAATATTACAGAATGTTTCAACCTATAATAAAATTTTACTAACACTTTCAAGTTTTACAGCAGCTGTTAGTTGGCTTTTCATATTGAGTGCATTGTACTCATATACGAGTACTGTAAACCATATCCATAATTGACTTTGATTACTAGCTAGATGATTATCTGCGGCCGATACCTCTAGTCAATTCTATCGTCAGTAATATACTTTCAGATCGATAGATGCTATTTTATTTGATGCAGCTTCAACGTGACATTTTGTGGTATGAGTTCTTAACACATCTATAGTAGTCTGGGTATACTCGTGAAAAATTATGTTAACAACAAAATCTAAAAAAAAATCATTTGTTTGAAACTTACTTTTCAATACACTTATCACGTCATATGTATGATTATGTCATAAGGTTTCGAAAATATGAGGCAGAGAAAGTTAATCTATCCTGGAGCTGTGGGATATGTTAATGATTATAATCCCAAAGTGAACCCTTCTATTATTAACGAACATGCTACTGCTGCCTTAAGGTATTTCCATACTCTCTTACGTGGGTTTTTAAGGTAAGTAATTTATATCAATCTTACACCACCTAAAATAGTGTTACTTTATTAAATTGAAACCTTTTTGTTGAATACATCCTCATCTAGATAAGTTAAATGTTTGTATGAGGTCTTCCTATGAAGTTGGAGATTTTTGTAAAAATAATAATTTAAAAGTTTTTTCTTTAGCTAATCAAACTTCAATCAAAAAGATTGAAGCTGGTTAAAAGGCAGTGGTAGGGGTGTGGTAGGGCCGGTGGCCGAAGTTGCCGAGCCCCCCCTTGCCGGCTCTTCTGCAGCGTCATTCCCGTTTAAATTACTGTGCCTTTTAATCCATTGGAGGAGTATCCCATTTATTGTGGCAAGCTGCTCCAATCCTTATTGGCATTTGAAGACAATACCAGAAGTCATTGTGTTGCCCTCCAATGTCTATGGGACGGCCATGCTGTCCGACTATATTCGAAAGTTATAGTCCTTAATATTCGACATGGAAGTTCTGGCAGCGTAAGTTTTTACCACATATTCGCATTGACGTATGGAACTATGTTGGTCTAACGCTAGTAACATGGTCATGTTTAGGTCTTGTGAGAAAATAACGGGTGGGTTGGTAGGGTGGGTTTAAAATAGCTTAGAAAGTTTGAGTAGGAGGAACCTATGATCATTGTAATTTGAGTTCAACCACAACAATGTTCCACCGAAGAGGGGAGAGTACAACGCCCTGTGGTCACTTTCTAGTGACCACCTCCCAGTCATTTCAGTCACAGCAAATTGAATAGCTCTATATCTTAGCATGCTATCGATCCACCCTGAGATTGTGGAAATACCACCATGTCTAGACAGAGCTAGGCTGATGCTGGGAAAATTCGTTTTATTAAAGGCACCTTAGATATCGATAAAGGCACCTAGTGTTGACCTTTGTTTGTGTTTTAGATTTCCTTCTATATGTGATACTATTCCATGTTAAGCTGATTCTGTTGATTTTTCTCTCGAGTAAGCGTGTTGGTTGTGGTGTAAAGGGTGTCTAACTAACGCAGTGCTCCTATCTATTAGCCTCTCAAGAACCTTAAATAGAAAGGACGTGAGACTGGTAGGTCGGTGTGATTTTTGTTGCGTATACTTTTGTCTCTGTCTGTATTGTCTGTATCGTCAGGTGTTTTTTCCCACCTGTCATACCATGTTTCCATCACATCTGTTATGCGATATCCGGGGCAATGTGTTGTCAATAACAGCTCTGAGGCGTCCGAGTCTGTATTGGTATACTTACCATAATCTTTTTCAGTGATCTTCAGTGATCTTTGATTGTGTTCCCATCTGCTACACAATATGTTTTTGACTATGATGGCCTGGTTGTTATTCCCCATGTTGGTACAGAAGCTTCTCCAGCACTCAGTTTCCTTGGTTCTGATTCGCTTCTTGTATTGTTGCCGGACCTGCGTACAGGCATCCCCGTCTTGGTCTAATTGGGAGTTTTAAGCTTTAATAAACAACTTTCTCAGTTTACGACGTAATCTTTCTAGTTCGGGTCCCACCACTGGTGATTATTCTGTAGTCCAGCTCTGGGTATAGACAGTGGGCACTGGGCACAACTGCATGTTTGTTCAAAGCAATCGGTTAGTGTTTGCGTAAGGTTGACAACCTGATTGTCAATGTCCTTAACAGCCCCCTGAGCATATGTTATCGTTGTCGACTATAGTTACAGACCGACCGCAAGGCTTGTTATAAAACTCAAAATTTATAGATTTAAAACGATTGAAACAATAATGGACCGTGTTTATGCAAGCAGTGTTAGGCCCGTACATGTTTGGGCACGCCGTCATTGCGGCGGTAAGACCCGTTATGGAGGATTGGCTCGAGAGGCGTCACGGGACCCTCTCATACCGATTGACGCAGGTGATCACTGGGAAGGGATGTTTCGGAGATCACCTGTGTCTGATCCGCAAGAAGCCAACGCCTGAGTGCCACCACTGCGATGGCCAGACCGTGGACACGGCTCTCCACACGCTGGCAGAGTGCCCGGCGTGGGTTGAGCAGAGGCGAGACCTCGTGGCGGCCATCGGAGTGGGAGTTCTCTCGCTCGATAGCCTGATTGCGGCTATCGTGCGGAGCGAGAGTGCGTGGAACTCTGCCGTCTCCTTCTGCGAGCAAGTTATGCTCGCGAAGGAGACGGCGGAGCGCTACCGGGAGAGGTTTAGAACTCTCCCGGCCCGCCAGGCCCGGGCACGGGCCAGGCAGCGCAGGCGACTCAGGTGCCGGAGGTCGCAGAACGACCTTCGTCCTCCATAAGCGCAGGCCTGGGGGTGACAGGTGAGGCCATCTGTCACCCTAGCAGAAGCAGGCCGGGGTGGCGGCGAGCGCGTTGCGCGCTCGCTTCCAGGGAGCACAGGGAACATGGGGTTCCCACACGGGGCGGGGGTCGTCTACTCGTCTGTAGATGACCCGAGGTATGTTGGGGCACCAGGGCCTTCCTTTCTAGGGTATACCTGGTTCCCCGGCAATTAGTACCCGGCGAAGGCGTGCGGTTTTAGTCGGTTCGAGTCCGACATGCCACCGACAGGTGGTATCCGAGGGGATTTCCGCACGGAAAAAAAAAAAAAAAAAAAAAAAAAAAAAAGGCCCGTACATGTTGTTAATGTTTCGTGTTCTTTGCACAGCGGTATTCAAAAATTGTAATTTTCAGTTTACCCATGGCGCCAAAAACTACTACAATTTAACAAAAATAAAACACTATCTAAAACAAATGACTGAATTTTAAATTAAAATAGCATGGCCTTCGAAATAAAATTTATTTGAATGCCAAATTGCGCACAAATCAACATATAATTAAAGCCGAAAATGCTGGTTTTAAAAATCAACAACTTTATAGTTAAAGACCTAATATTGAGAGTTCCATCAGTTCAGTCGTTTCGAACACGATTCAAGCCCCAATGATTTAATCGAAAATATCTCTTATTTAACGCAAAACTTGTTTTGTACCTTGTACAGATTTATTCCTTTTGTTTTTTTTTTTAAAAGGCGTATATCCAAAGATCAAGAACTAGCTGGAGTTGTACGCTTGAGCGATTGGATGGACAAACCGTCAATTTTGGAAATTAATAATAATTTCAACGAGTTGACCAGAGGCCTTACTATGCAAAAAATGAGTGAAAGTGATGAGTACTTTACCGATGAATTAACGAATTTCCTTTTCAGGTTAGAAATTTTTTACTTAAAAATTTTAACTTTCATTTATTTAAGAGACATCCGTGAAAGGGGCCTACAAATTAAAATTAACGCTATTATTAAGATAATACAATTTTCAGAATCATAAATAAAAGTCGGCCTGTACCCATAGATAGCCGCACCCTCTATGTAGATTTAGAGAAATTTAACAGAAATTATCTTTCTTTCTTCAAGGACCTGAGCTCTTTCTCATATGTAAATAAAAGACTACGCATACGCATACTCCTGGTTACGATACGGCATTATGTTGTGGGGAAACAGTGTACACTTTCAGGATTTATTTATATTACAAAAGAAATGTATTAGAATTATCGGACAAATTGGAAATCGTGATAGTTGTAGGCCCTTCTTCATTAAATATAACATCCTCACACTACCATCATTATACATATTTGACATCTGCATATTTGTATCCAAGAACATGAGTCACTTCGCGAGAGTAAAAGACAATCACAATTTAAACACACGCCACAGAGACAGACTATACCTACCACCATCAAGAATTAAAATGCTACACCAGAGCCCTTACTACATGGCTGTAAAAATATACAACAAATTACCTATCCACATAAAAAATGAAACGAAGACTACACTATTCATTAAAAAACTAAAAGCATTCTTAATTACAAAATGTTTCTATTCTGTTAAAGAATACATTGAGGAAAAAAACACTTAACAAACTACATTTCTTATTACACGGAAAACAGAAAGCATATACCTAAGTACAAATCATAAAAAGAAAAATCGGTCGTGATGCTCGGAAATGCTAGGGACAGTAGGAAAATGTGTATATGTATTAGTGATGTAGAATGTCGGGTGCCTTCGTATTTTTGCATGCTTTATTTGATTGTTATACTGTACTATTAAGTCACTTAATTTGTATTGTTCAAAAAATGCTTGTACTTGTGTAACAATTTATTCTTCTGCGTTCTCTCTCAAATTTTTGCAATGCCTGGAGAAGGCTTCTGAGTTGGGACTACTACATATAATATTATAAGATCATTGATGTACACTTGGTTGGCAAATAAAGATTTGATTTGATTTGACGTGAAATGAATATCAGCATCAAAATCAGCGTAAAAATTTTACAGCCACAAAGCAAAGTCTATAACTTTGTTTTTAGTGATTAGTTAACAATTTTCTGCAAATACTTGTATACGCGAATATACGCGCTAACATCCCTTGTGAAATCGCCTATTGTACAGGCAACTTCATATAAAAAAAAATGACTGGTTTTTCAATGTGATAATTCTGATAAAATTATTTATTAATTATTAGTTAAAAAAACTTTTCAAAAAATCGGTTAGTGGCAAGTTATTAAAAAAAAAACAGGGAGAAACAACTTTGTGGAAAAACAAAAAATAGGAGTAGTACGAGAAAAAAAGAATAAAATGAGAGTTGCTGAAGTCAAATTCGTAAGAACGTTTACGAGAAAAGAGAATGTTTGAAAATAATGTTTAACACGCTTTTATCTCGAAAAAATCGCGATTTTTTGCCTTTCGTTTTCTCAGCTTGTGTGATTCGTAGGAAAACTGTTAGGGTTGTAAAATGGTAGTTATAGCATTTAATACTATTTTTTTGAAAAAATATGTCGTTAAATAATATTAAGTTGCCGCACAATTTGTGAAAATGTCAAAATAGAAAAACGGTGGATCGCTAAGAAAGCATCCCACGACAAGTTTAAAAATGGCATTTTATTCGTTAAGAGTTGCCATACCTTTGCATAATTATAAATCTCCCAGATGTATGGCACGGCCGTGAAAACGTTTTTATTTTATATTTTTGCGCGGTTCTTTTATTATATGCAAAAATAATTATAATTAAATAAAACTAAAAGAATTAATGCATTAATAGCTAACCAAAGTAGGATAAAATTGACTTCTAATATTTGTTTTTGAAGTGAGTTAGGAGTGAATAAGTTAACTAAGGAGGACCAAAACAGTGCAAAAAGAGAAGGAAACCTTGAAACAAACCCTATACCAGTCCGGCTGGCCAGCGTGCTACAGTAGGCCAAAACCGCCTTTCTAATATAAGGAGAGACCTATGTCCAGCAGTAGACTATTAGAGGCTGTTGAAGATGATGATGATGATGACACATTTGCAATTTTAATGTCTAACTTTAGAAAGCCAACATTTTCATTTTCGTGAAATTGTATGATTACTGTTATTACTCAATATATATTTGGAACACCATAGGGGCAACAGAACGTTCGGTAGTGACCTGCGAGCAATTGACATACAACGTGGTCGCGACCACGGTCTCGGTAGTTACATTGCGACCCGTGCTGCCTGCAAATTACCCGTTCCAAAGACATTCCGTGATATGCGTGACTACATCTCTGAAAAGGTACGTCATAAAGAAAAGGCATTGATCTTTTGTGTTTTCTTTGTACGCTTACTTATTTGACTTGATTTGCATCTAATTCTAATCCTATGCTCTATCAAAAAATCTTTATCTAAATGTACATTTTATTTACTTAGAAAATTAAGTTCAATAGAAAACTAATTGTTTAATGAACAGTAGTTAGAAACCAAACATTAGTTATATAGTCATAAAATAAAAAATATAAAAGTGTTAAGGTAAAATGATGGTAATTGGATTTATTTATTTTATACAAATGAATAAGATATGAGATAAATGTCTACTAAAGTTTGAGAAAACTGTGTTGTATAAAAATATAGTGGTTTCCCATTTTTGTTTCATGCTGAGACGAGTAATTATTTTATGTATTTTTTTAATGTCAATTTTTATTTTTACGAGATTTTTATTACATTCATTTAAGTAAACCACAATTAGGCCAAAACATCCTTTCTAAAGAGAGGCCTATGTCCAGCAGCGGACTAGTAAAGGCTGTTAATGAGTAAATAAAATGGTGGTTTAGGATGTAGAGCTGTTGCAACACTTGTACGCATCACTTCAAGATGTCGACTTAGTGGTAGCAGGTTCCTTGGAGCGCCATGTTCCTGGAGCCCTAGCGGGCCCTACCTTCTTCTGCATTTTGACTAAACAGTTCTACCGAACACGGGTTGGAGACAGATATTTCTATGAGAATGGGGCGGATCGTCAAATCGCCTTTTCTCCAGGTAATTAGCACTAGTTAGTATAACATCTTAATAACTGAATTCTGATACTCAGTTTTACATCTAATAATGAAACTCGTATCAGATAATTAGCATGCACTATGACATGCTATCGATCAATTGAAATAAATATACTAGTATCCACTCATGTCTTCCGTGCCCATATTCTACGATCTAGGTATCTTGAACAATCAGGTTGTTTTGCTATATATTATTTACTAGTTTTTGTCCGTGGCTTCGGCCACGTGTATGTCGGTTATCGCGGTAAAAGTATCATATGTCTATCTAATTTCAACTAAATCTGTTCAGCGGTCATTACTTCCCAGACAAATTTCATCTAAATCGGTTTAGTGGTTTAAGCGTGAAGAGGTAATAGACAGACAGACACACTTTTGCATTGACAATATTGGTATGGATAAGTATAATAATATATAGCAAAGAACCTGATTGATCAAGTTTGTTTATTTCTCACTACTGCTACATTGATATGACATGACATTGACATGTTCCCTAATTACATTACCAATTTATAATATAAGAGAATTGACAACATGTGGGTCACATTTTTTTTCAAGATGTAAATAGATTCTGATGTATCTTTATATACTCACAAAATAATAAGGTAATTAAAGATACCACCAAAACATTACTAATTTTAGTGTAAATAAAGGATACATCTTACCAAAATTAACTATATATTGTAAACATGTTGTTGAAAAAATTATCCACATTTATGTGTTTGACAAACAGCTCAGTTGAAGGCGATACGCAAGGGCGCGAACATGGCACGCTTCCTCTGTGATAATACTAAAGGAATAGATCGCATGCAACGCAAGGCATTTGAACTGGTGTCTTATGAGTAAGTATGGCTAATAGTGGTAGTAGTATAATAAAAATTAAAATTATGTAGATTTCTGAGAAACACAAAATGTTTAGGTCAGATTATAAATCCTGGACAAGATTGCTGAACAGGAATTGACTTAGTCATTTCCTGTTCAAGAGTCCTCAGGAGTCAATTGAGAGATAGTGATATAGTAGATCCTCCCAAGAAAGCTGACGATCCGATATCCTCTACCGAAAAATCAACCTCAGAGACAAAATCGAAATGGAGATTAATATATTGTGTAACATCGATGTAGTATACTATTGTTTTTAATGTCCTAACATAACTATCTTTTCTTTACAGAAATCCAATAATACCTTGTGATCAATTACCTTTTATCGATCTAAGTCAATGGCGGGAATAAAGAAGTAGAAGAAAGGTCAATTAATATATTCAAAATAAAGTTTCATGCACGTTAACTGTCTTATGATTTTATTGTGAGTGGTGTTCATATAATGTAACCGAAATAACATAATTAAGTATTTCTAGCTATTAAAACCTATCAGAACACCTTCTATAATATCATATGAGAAAGAACTAATCAAATTAGGAGTGTAATTTCAGTGCCGACAGAAATTTATGACTTCATTAATGTTAATAGACGTCCAGATTGATAAATAGTTTGAGCAGTGACGATGATAAGGAACGGAGTCCTTTCATCCCCTAATTAACGCCAAACAAAAGTAATTACTGTCACTGAATTTTAAAGAAAACATGCTATATGTAGAAAATAATATTGAAAATTGATTATACAAAAAAAAACAATTTTCTATAATTAAATTAAATCACTACCATAAATTAACACAGGAAAACATTTAAAGAGAAGGGATAGAACTATCTTCAACTTCGTCTTTAAAAACGAAAATACTGATAAATACTTAGCTTTTTCATTATTTTACCGCTGTAAACTCCCTTGTAGTGACGGATTAAGAATACGGAATGTCACTACCCCAATTCATACAGACAAACCCATGTCGATGGCTACAAACTGTGTGCGCGGCTATATTATCTTTACAATGCTAGACTTAGCTTCTGTAAATAATAATATTGACGCCATTGCAAGTTGAAAATTATGGCGGTCCCTTATTTGATAATAAAAAATATTACATTTAAATATACGCATCGTTAACCGAAACTTCGATAATCTTATTGTATTCTTAAAATCTATACGTACTGGGTCTGCCAATAGGGATGACTTGGTTTTGACAGCTCATAGCGGCCATTTTTGATGATGGATCTTTGACGTCTCTTGACATTTGTGTTTATCAAGGTTTGCCATTTTATCATGTCACATTTCACTTTAAACCAACGCTTAGAAATTGTCCAAAATTATTACGCAAATTCGCGTTCTCCTACCGGTACAGTAAGAGCGCTTCGCGCAAAAACGGTTGTCATAGTGCTCCTTCTGTGCGCGCTATAAATCGCATAATAACAAAATTTGAAAGTGAATTCACTCTCCACGATACTGCTGTGCCTGTGAGACAAAGAAATGCCCGCAGTGAAGAGAATATCGCAACCGTTCAGGCCAGTGTTGATGCGAATTCAAATCGATCAGTCCAACGTCGTTCACAAGAGTTGGGGCTCTCTCCAATGACCACCTGGCGTATTTTGCGGTTGGATTTGGGCCTACACCCATACAAAATTCTTTTGGCACAAGAGTTGAAGCCATCCGACCATTGTATTCTTCGTGAATTTGCCGATTATGCACTGGGAATGATGGAAGCCGATGACGATTTTCATCGTAAAATTATCTTCTCAGATGAGGCCCATTTCTGGCTCAATGGATTTGTTAATAAACAAAATCGTCGCTATTGGAGTGAATCAAATCTACGTGTGGTTCATGAATCACCATTGCATCCGCAAAAAATAACAGTTTGGTGCGGTTTATGGTACGGTGGAATCAATGGTCCGTACTTCTTTGAAAGTGACGAAGGAAACCCTGTTACTGTGAATGGCGAGCGCTATAACTCGATGTTACCCGAATATTTCTTTCCGGAATTTGATGATATTGATGCAGACGACCGTTATTTTCAATAAGACGGTGCACCATCTCACATTACTCGTGTGAACATGGAATTATTGCGTATAAAGTTTGGTGAGTCGTTAATTTCGAGAAATGGACCGATCAGTTGGCCACCATGATCCTGTGATTTAACACCTTTAGACTATTTTCTTAAGGTTCATGTTAAATCTAAAGTGTACAACAATAATCCAGCTACAATTCGTGACCTAAAAACCAACATTCGACGAGCCATAGCTGACATACCGGCCGAAATGGTGCACCGCGTCATCGAAAATTGGCGTGAGCGAGTGATCGTCTGCAAAAAGAGCCGCGGCGGTCATTTGGCCGATATATTATTTAAAACATAAATTTCATAAAATTATCTTTCAAATAAATCAATCGCATGCATTTTTCATAAAAAAATGTGTGTTTTATTCAATTTTTAAACCAGGACGTTCTTATTGGTAGACCCCATATATTACCAGAAATTATAGTCCTCTCCGAATGCTATTTAATTAAAACTGTATACTTTCCGACACTCGAAAGCCGTTGGTTTAGGTACACATACTAGACCATTAACCCGGCCCCAGGGAAAATGGAGTCACCCTCTCTATTATCCACTGGGGTAATTCCTGGCTGGCGCGTCCATGTCGCGGGGGTGGGCACCGCTTGTTCCAGTAGGCCGGAACAATGCTGGTGGCCGAGTTCAGTCAGGGACCCAGCCCCACGGGGTATAACGTGGAACCCGTGCCCAGGGTTACGGGTGAAGTCCTCAACGGTTGTGAAGGCGGAGATGGAGTCCATCGGAACGGCGGATCAGGCGGAAGAGGCACAAAACCCAAGAGCGGGCTACACCTACATATTAGGTCTAATGGGTCGCTACTGGAGTTGCACTGTCAGGTACGGTGGTGCAAAAGAGATGGTGGTATATGGTTTTATACCAGCGCTCACAGTCCTAAGATGGATTAGTACCTTGGCGTCAGGTGGCAACCGGCCGTAAAAAAAATCTACAGCCAATAACCTACTCCTAATCATGAAAAGTACAAAGACAAGAGTGAATATAAGGGATAGGGCGTTCCCCTCAGGCGACGACAACGTGATCACGAATGCAGCAAATGCTAGGGCGTTCCCCCGAAGCGACGCAAAGGTCGTTGCAGCACACCATCCTATCCAGAAACTGCGCATTGCAAACTGGAACGTGGGCTCAATGACCGGACGCAGCTCAGAACTAAGCGAAGTCCTTCTAAGAAGACGTGTAAACATTTGCTGTATACAAGAGACAAAATGGAAGGGGTCAAAGTCTCGTGATATTGGAGACGGCTTCAAGCTACTCTACAACGGCGCAAACACAAACCAAAACGGAGTGGGCATCGTGATCGACCAAGACCTGCAGGAGCGCGTAGTGGAAGTCAACCGCGTAAGCGACAGGCTTATGGCAATCAAATTTGCCCTCGATAACCAGCCATGCATGAATGTTGTATCAGCGTATGCACCACAATCTGGGTGCTCAACATCTGAAAAAGAGATCTTTTGGAACGACCTGGACGACCTAATGCAGTCAATACCCACTACTGAAACCAAATACATCCTGGGAGACTTTAATGGGCATATAGGACAAAAATCACCTGTCAACGCGAGAGTGCACGGAGGATACGGATACGGCACAACCAACCCTCAAGGCAAAGATATTCTGCAGTTCGCCGCAACATATGACCTTGCTATTATTAACTCCTTCTTCTCAAAGCCGCACGAACATCTCATCACATATAAAAGCGGAGGCAAAAGCACCCAAATCGACTATATAATGGCGGACCGACTGCTTCTTAAAACCTTCCGAGACTGCAAAGTGATACCAGGGGAGCCTCTCACATCACAGCACCGACTCTTAGTAGCAGACTATATCATGCCAAGACCAATAAAAGTGAGAAAAGACAAAAGGGCACCAAAAATAAACTGGCATAAACTAGCAAGAGAAGTAGGGCAGAAACTCTGCTCAGACCTCGTGGCGCACCTAGAGGAAAACCAACCACAAGGCACTGCCGATACAATCTGGACTCGCTTTCGAACCAACTGTATCCAATTAGCGTCAAAGCATTTGGGAGTATCAAAAGGAGCAGTCTGTGGTAACAAGAATACCAACTGGTGGACAGATGATGTCAAACAAAAGCTAGAACTGAAGAAAACCCTTTTCAAGACTTGGCAAAATAGCAAAGAAGACGCAGATCGCGAAGCATACAGATCTGCTAAGAATGAAGCCAAGAGAGCTGTGGCGCAAGCGAAAGCTATATCCGCAGAAGACTTCTACGCGAGGCTACATAATACAAAGGACGGCAGGGAACTCTTCAAGATAGCAAAGCAACGCCATAATAACACGAGAGATACCAAAACAGTTAAGTACATCAAGAATGAGCAGGGTGTGCTACTTACCAGCAACGCAGATATTTGCAAGAGATGGGAAGAGTATTACTCTCACTTACTAAATGAAGCCTACCCGAGCGAAGAACTCCTCAAAACACCACCCACCGAAGGCCCAATTTTCGCTGTCACTCCAGACGAAGTCAGAGCGTCCATCAAAGCCATGGCAAATAACAAGGCCACTGGGCCCGATGACATACCTGCAGAGCTCTGGAAAAAATTGGGAACTCACGGAGAATCCTTTCTCACCCACCTCTTCAACCGGATTCTCAAAGATGGGATACCAGATGAATGGCGCGACAGCTTTTTAGTGCCATTTTATAAAAATAAGGGTGACATAAGACTATGCGAAAACTATAGAGCCATCAAATTAATATCCCACACCCTTAAAATCTGGGAAAGAGTAATTAGCAAACGGCTTCATTTAATCACCAGTGTGACTGAGAATCAGTGTGGCTTTGTCACTGGTAAGTCTACCATCGACGCCATCCACTCAATACGAGTTCTGATGGAGAAGAAGAGGGAGAGTCAACAAGATCTACATATGGTCTTCATAGATCTAGAAAAGGCCTTCGACCGCATCCCCAGAGATCTCATCTGGCAGTCTCTGCGAGCTCAAAACGTGCCAGAATGGCTCGTCCAACTGGTGACGGACATGTACAGGAAGGTGAAAACTAAGGTGCGCAGCCCCGCTGGTCTTAGTGACCAATTCGACGTGGAAGTCGGCGTGCATCAAGGGTCAGCTCTTAGCCCACTACTTTTCAACTTAGTGATGAACCATATCACAGCTGACCTGCAGAAAAAGCCCCCTTGGAACATCTTGTACGCGGATGACATAGCCCTCATTAGTGAAGATGTGGAGGAGTTACAGATCACGCTAGAACAATGGCGCAGTGCTTTGGAAAATGCTGGCCTGAGAGTCAGCAGACAGAAGACTGAGTATATGC